AAAAAAAAAAGGTAGCAACAAGTCATTTTTGTAATTGTTCTGTACAAATATTTGTAGATTTCTTTCTTTTTCGATCACAACTAAATAAATAGAAAAAAAGTACATAATTTATATGAGCATATTTATAAATCAATAAAAAAATATTATTCATCTATATATAGTTTATGTACATAGTATCGTAATGATGGTGATTAATATTTAATGTCATTTTCTTTTTTTTAGTCATTCAAATAAAAAAGCTAAATTGTGACAGACGATAACTCAATGAAATATTTCTACAGATCTTTGTAATTGTTCTGCATAAATATTTGTTGATTTCTTTTTTTTCGATCATGACTCGGTAAATAGAGAAAAAGTACATAATTTATAAGTGCATATTTACAGACCAATAAAAAAAAACGTTACTCATTTACACATAGTATAAGTACATAGTATTGTAATGATGATGATTAATATTTAAAGTTGGCTTCTTTTTTTTAGTCATTCGAATAAAGAAAGTTAAATTGTGATTAGAAGAGAACATTGATTATCAATGAAATATTTCTTATTTCTTATTATTATTCGGATTATTTATTGTTTTACACCTACTAAATCTCCATTTGATGCATATGGTCTTAAACTTGCTGGTAATGATGTTCTATTAGTCGAATCTTTGGCTTCTGATTCTTCTTTTTTCGTTCGTCTTGCTCCATATAATTATTCTCTCTCTTGTACAATACCTTATAATAATTCCAATCAATATATATATTCTGTGGCTGTTCATTCCAAAGCAACATATAATGATACAATTCGCTTTGTATTTATTGGTATTAATACAGATACAGATATACCATTTATAGGTTCATTAACATACAATGGTATAACAGGCCCAACATTTATCGATGCTGTTAATTCATCATTAAAAGCGAAATTTCCTTGTAATGGTTGGAATAAAAATAATTATCATATACATCAATTTGAACAATTTGTAAATGATGATTTTGAAGACACGAATAATAATGATTTTTTCATTGCTATTATTTCGTAAGTATATTTATTTTATTTTATTCTAATCTAAAATATCTTCTATTTCTATAGATCAACAGGAGAATTTGCATATGGGTTTACTAATACTTTTTTAATTATTTATGATCTTAATGGAGATAATAGTTCAAGTCAGTATGGTAATGTAACATGGCCGGATCCATCTTTTCTTCCACGTGCTGTTGATGTCAATGAAGATTTATTATTTGTAATAATTGGATATATAGGTGATCCAAATATAAAATATAGTCCATGTGCTTATCTAATAAATCTTGTAAATTCCACAATATTTAATATATTAGATGAATGGATGTATAGTCCATCGAGTACATCATGGCAATCTAGTCTTACTAATTCTGATGCTTATATTTATTCATCAAAATATGATATGTCAATAAGTTTTAATAATGACGGAAATGAAATTTTAATTGGTATTCAAATAATCAATAGTATTCTAATATTTAATATTGATAAAATAAATCAAAAATTTAATACAACAATGTCTCAAACATTATCAAATGGAAAATCAATTGGAATGGGTAAATCAGTTGCTTGGGTTGATACAAATATTATCATTGTACTTGTTAATACATATTCACTTAATTATATTTGGTCATCATCACAAATATTTGCATATAATATAAGTCTTTTTAATAATTTTTCTGTTATATCAATTTTTCCAAATATTCAACAAACATTAACATCAATATTTAGTCCAAATCTTCTCTCATTAGTGATAACTGAAAATGGTAAAGAGATAATATTAGATTCCTATGGTAATTATTATATTTTATTACCTTCACCTGCTGGTTCATATTCAGATAGTAGTTCAGGTACTTATTCAACATCATCATTATGTATTCCTGGTACTTTTACTTCCGACGAAGATATATATCCATGTCAACTTTGTCCAAGTGGAACTACAACAAATGGTTTAGCTGGACAATCTTCTTGTGTTGAATGTTCAAATGATAGTTTTTGTTCATTAGGTGCAGCTTTTGGTGATATAAATATATCTTCATCAATTTTAAAAAGTATTAATCAAATCATTGCATATCCAGTCTCACCTCAATCAGTTCGTTTTGATAATATATTAATACAAAATATGCTTGTAATTTATAATCCTTCATCACCACGTTGTTTAGTTTTATCACCACTATTTTGGGCAATTATTGTTATTGCATTTGGTTTATTAATTCGAATAATTCGATTTATTCTTAAACATTATGTTAAAAATCCATTTGGTGACAAAACTCAACAAAAAATGAAACGATTTTTTAAAAAATCAGATTTAATTGGTGAAGGAGAATTGATTATAGGTGGAATATTTAGTTTTGCTATTCTTGTTATTGTTATATTTGCTTATACATTTAGTAATTCATATTTTCATCGTTATCCTATTGAACAAATAAATGGAAATGCTGATTTTGCTTGTGATCAAACATTAACAAATGCACAATTTAGTTCTGGTTTAATGCCAATTGGTATTCCACCTGATGAAACTGAAGAGCCAATATTTAATTTACTTGATAATCAATTATTTACATTAAATATTGATTTTATCAATACAGTATTTAATTGTACAGATATATCAGTAACACAAATAAAAGATACAAGTTTACCTATGAATATAAATTCATGTAATGATTCACTTAGTACAACATCATTATCATTAATTCTTCCATCACATGATATAAATATACAAATACAATTATCGGGTATTCATACGATTGGTGCTCTTAGAATTGGTCTTCAAGGATCTAGTCAAGATATGATAAATGAAACATTAAATGCTATTTATACACTTTCCAATCTTATATTTGCTGATAGTTTATTTATGAATGAGCAAATGTTAACACAACAAGTATCATGTGCATTACAATTGACTAAAGTTATCAATCGAACGTATCCATTAGAAGAAAATGCAGCAACGGAATTTAATGCTGTTTGGTTACCTATTATTTCTGGAAGTACTTATCAAATGTTTGTTGATGAAAGTGAATATAAATATAGTACAAGTACAACTACCACACTTTCAATTGTAATTAGTGAAACATCTTATTATACATTAAATATACAAAAACCAATAACTGATTATAGTGAACTAGTTTTTACTAATCTTCTTTTTACAATTGTATGTTTCGAAATATTTGGTCTTGGTTTTCTTATTTTTAAACTTATTATTATTCCATTTATTAAATGGATTTTTAATCATTGTTCTTGTCGTCGTCATCGTCAATCATCGATTGATAAATCATACGATAAGCAACTTAATTTACCAAATATATTTGAAACTCGAATGTAATATTATTTAGTTTATCTTCGCATTTCAATCATTAATGTTTTCATTTTTATTTTTTATTAAATTATTTTGATTTCAATTAAATATTTTCACTAATTAAGGGTGTGGGTGGCTAGGTCTATGGGGGTGGGGGAGAGGGTCTGGGTGTACAATGAATGAATACCCTAACCCACCTCACCGTCAAGATGGATTTCGTGGATTCATTCAATGCTTTTAGTTTTCATTATAGTGTGAACAATCAATTTTTTAGCTTTTAGGATGCCGTGGATTCATCAAGACATCAGAATTCACGAAAGTCGGATAGGTCTCATAGCTTAGTATATATCACAATGTAACATATAAATACTTTCATCTTTTTTTTTATTTCGTGTCACAAGTACTTGGTCATTTGTAGTCATGTTATTCTTTTTTAATCGATTTCTTTTCATATTCAGTTATAAATGTGTGCTGTGAGGTAATGATGCCATAGAATATTCTTCTCTATTAGGGAAAGATCCTCTTTTATCGTTTATAACAGACGGGATGTGAGTATGGCTCTCTCAAGACTATTTTCTGTATCAACAATAAATACAAAATGAAATATTTAATCGAATATATTTATTAGTGATAAATGACATATAATGAAAAGCAATTGTAAAATGAGATCAAACTCGCAAACTAATCAATTGACGGTTAATAGTCGGCATTTCACATCAGTTTTCACTACTACTGAGCCATCTTGAGGGTGTGAGTGTGGGTGTATATTGTAATGTGATTCTTTACCCACACTCTATCACATCCTCACCCATATACTGAAACTATTCTTTTCGTCAAAAGATAGAATCAGTTTGATTTTCACTGATTCAAGCAAAAAAACAGTACAAGAAGCTGAAAGTATAAGCATGGATGAGTTTGCGTGAAAGATTGATAATAACAAAGTTTTATGAAAAGTGTTAGTATCGAACGAACATTGTTATTTGTTCTATATTGTTAAATGATTAATCATAGGATGATGTTGTTGGTAGAGTAAGGAAATGTCATTAAGGATGTTGAGTATGGTGGAGGGATACATTTTAACATTGTAGGAGAACACTGGTGGTGTTTTCACCCCAGTTTGCGACGATAATATCGGGTTTATTGTCATTGTTTACATCGGCTACTGCAACTGAACTTGGTTGTAAACCAGCTTCGTAAGTTATTTGAGGAGAAAAAGTGCCGTTGCCTCTGTTGAGAAGAAGACTGATGATTTCTGAACCTTTATTAGCAGTGACTATATCCGGTTGATTGTCGTTGTTCACATCGGCTACTACTACTGACACTGGACGCACACCAACTGCATAAATAGTTTGATTAAGAAATGTACTATTACAAGCTGGTAAACAAAAGAAAAAGATTTAGATTACAGTTTTTATCATTAAAAAACAGTATTTCAACGTCTTGTTCTATTTAATTCGCAACAGTTCGGTTCAAATTAAAGCAAATCAATCAATCAATAAAATTACTCTACTATATTTATGGTTAATTGAGATCTTCTACTATACCTCTACTTACAACGTTTTTCCAATTCTATTTCAACATTAGCTCAGTTATTAATCTCGACTTCAGTTAATACATTTGTCTCTTCTACATTCGTTTTTTCACATGGCATCATTCTTTGCAATGTCATTTCAATACAAAATTTATTTTGTGCCATTCTAAACATATTGTGGCGAATATATCTTGAGATTAGCTCACGCTCTGCAGCAGTCACTAAACATAGCTATCAGAAAAGACTAAAATTTCGATGGAACCTTACTAAAAACATAGTTCTATTCAAATTTAGTCATACCAAGTGAATTCAACGAAGATCTTCCAATTATATGATAGGTGGATTTGTTCGAGTGCACTTAAAAATATCTTAACTCAAACGAACAAATACAGAATATCACGGGGTATAAAATGAGAACGACTGATTGTTTTTGAGGTTTACATGAGAAGTTTAATGCGAATAAGAGGGGTCGAGGAGAAATAAAATCTGTCCTATTTTACTTTTCTACAGAACATAGTAGTCCCTTCGATATCTTTTGTTCACTCTTTTAAGCATCTATAGAAAACTAAAATATAATATATAAAGATCGACATCTACATATAAAGTTAAAACTGAATAAACTTTGTATTTCGTGAACCTCTCACCAGTTGCTATAACTTAGAGCTGAATTCTCCTTTAAAAGATTCTTGATTTCATTCTACACAAATCTATCTCATAAAGGCAAAAGTAAATAAAATAGTTTCAGCAATACTACAAATATAATATGAGCAACTTTCAAAATAATATTCAAAAAGAAACGCTGTTTGAAAATGACTTCATATCATCAGAAATATTCGGCAAATAAGAAACAAGAACTTCTAAGAGTATAGTTTCTCAAACTGAAGAACAATTGATCGCTTGGCAACTAAAAGAGGGACTATGATTCGTGTAGCGCATTACTGACCGATTGATGTTGTTGTTGTTGCTGATGATGAGGATGTTGTTGTCGACAATGTTGATGATACTGTTGATGACGATGACGTTATTGTTGGTGATGATGAGGTTGTTGAGGATGATGATGATGTTGCTGTCGACATTTTTGTTTCTATTATTGTTGTTGTTTGTGTTATAGGTTTTTTTGTTGTTGTTGATGATGTAGTTTCACTCTTCTCTCCGTTCGGCATAATTACATTATTAAAAGATGCCTGATTTATTTGATCTTCCGTTATTTTAGCACCTGTCATATCACTGTTTGAAAAGTGTGCACCTGTCAGATTTGAGTTTCCAAAATCTGCACCCGACAGATTTACACCATTAAAACTAGCACAAGCTAAAGATGAACCATCAAATTTAACGTTATCAAATCGTCCTCCATCAAATGATACACCGTTTAAACTAGCAAATGAAAATGTTGCATTTGACATTGATACTTGATCAAAAGAAACGCACTGTAAATTCAACTTATTTAATTCACCAGTTTCACTTGCTAGATGTACATTATCAAAGTTTAATTCATTCAAACGAATTATATCATCTAATTCTGTCGTTCTACATCCACTAGTACAATTATTTCTGCCAATTAATTGTTTTTCTTTAAGAAATTGTAAAACATCTGCTTTACGTATTGTATCCCATTGACGATGAGCAGCACGATAATATGCATTTGCAAATGCCCATGGAGTTTTTGTGTCGTTCAGATAACCATCTTTATCCAGTTTATAGATATTATTTATAAATTCATCATAAAGTGTTCGTTGTCTTAATTTTTCAACTTGTTCCAAATCAAACTGCCGTATTTTTTCAGCTTGTTCCAAATCAAACTGCTGTGTTCTTTCAGCTTTTTGTTTTTGTTGTTGAGACCCAATTGCGGTATAAATAGCAAGAGCTATGGGTATAGCAGCTGAACATAGAATAGTTTTAATAGGTCTTTAAATGTAAAATGCCAAAACACTCGTTTGTTAAAATCTACCATTGTCTCAATCTGGTTTTAGAATGAACAATAAAATATTGTGGTTTGTTCGAATACAAAAAAA